GGCGGCGGCGGCGGCGGCGCGGGTCCCGCCGCGCAGGCCGGCAGCCTCGCCGCCAGCTTCCTGCTGCGCAAGGCGGCCGTCGCCAAGCTCACCCGCTACGACCTGCTGCAAGGCGTGGTCAAGGCCGAGGCCTACTTCGCCTTCAACGGCGAGGACGTGCAGTACGGCATCGAGGCGGACCGCAGGTAGGTGGGCAGGCTGCGAAGGCCGAGTGGAGATTGCGAAGTGCCACTAGCGGTTGGTGCCTGCTGAGATTGCGAGCTCAACTATTAAAATGATGCGGGAAAATATTCAAGAGAGTAGGTTTCCGCGGCGTTGCAAAGCGCTTTGTTGGGTTTGTGTGAGTGTAGATTGCGAACTCAACTATTAAAATGGTGCGGGAAAAGCATTCAGAGTATAGGCTTCCGCGGCCAGCGGCAGTACCCACCTGGCTGCCCGGGAGATGCCGTGTCCCGGACACTGATGCCAACGACTCCCTCGGCATAGGTTCCTATTCTAGGCACACGTACCAACTTGGGCCAGAGGGAAGTCGCACAGTGGCGACCGAAACCATGGTACCTGAGTTTAGGATCTACGAAAAATATTGTTTTTTGGAGAAATACTACTACTACTACTACTACTGTGTGATACTTATTTGTGGTTACAGTCGGGCAATCAGCCAATTACGTCAAAAAAAATATTTCCTGTGATATTTGTATGTGTGCAAACATTTGTAAATTATTGTTATAAATCGGAAATGTTTCTGGAACCCATCTTAATATAGGCCATAACTGCACGATACAATCGGATCTAAAAGTTAGGTACTGATCCTGGGTAATCTTTCTAATAATTTGTACCATTGTATCAACGTCGTGAACCCAAGAACTTACAAGACAATATCAAGAAGCCAATGTAATGTTTCTTGTAATTCAAGATACTGCACGTATGTGGTAACTCGTGCCAAAGAATACCTTGCTCTGCAGAAACAAACTTTCAAAACAGTAAGAGATGTCCAAAATGTTGAAGACAACGACCTCTGAAGCATAATATGTATTAACAGACCCGAAAGTAGAGTTTCTAGGGCCCGTGTCGCACCTTGTAAGTTATGCGCGATGGAAATATTTATTGTTGATTGCTTTTCCGCCTGCAGATTTTTTCATAAATTTATTATCTACAATATTCTACATTTATCGACTTAAATCTATATCATTTTCTCTTGAGAAATCATTCTAAATTTAAAACTATCATATTTATAAGTATTTTAAGTTAATGGAATATTTTTCTTTAAATTATTATGTGTATATTAAATTAATATTATAATAATAATTATTATTGATATTTTATATCGTTATTATTCAGCACAGATTCAAATGTAGAAGTTAATCTTTGTGCAATTGTAATGGTAATACTAACAATAAATATTATACAAAAAATAATGTATAGGATTCATTTTGCGGGAAATAATTAATTTCAAAATTAAAGTATTTAATTTCTTTTCTCAGTAATTAAAATCTTTCAATTAATGAAATCAACTCAGTTATAAAGTGAATATATGTAAACACATTCACATAATTGATACACTTCATTGATAATTATGTTTGATCAACCGTTGTTCAATATGTAATCCTTTTATGTATTGTCAAAGAACTTTAAGGTAAATGTACACATAACGTAAAACATTACTTACAATAATTGAGTGCATGGTGCGCTCCACTTAGTATACTCTTTTTCAAATGTAACAAACCTAATATCAAACAATTGTAGTACACTAATCGTAACCAGAAAGTAAAAAGTACCAGTAAGCAACAAGAATAGTAAAAACATTAACCAGATAGTAAATAGTAACCCCAAAGAAATATATTGACTCCATTTTGAGAAATTATTAATGTTCCATTGATGCTAAAAACCTTCCAACTGCTTATATAAAGGCCACGGTTTTGATGAAATAACTAATTTTGTACTATTAGTAGCTGTTTTTTTTATATTTCACACCTTTGGCTTTGGGTTGACAAGAGAAATGAGTTAAAATAAGTGTTAAGAAGTTTTGAGAGATAAAAAATCGATAATATTTAAAGACTATTTATTTTAAAGAAATTATTTTTGAGAAAAATGACTTAGACCCACACATAGCGTTGCATATTTACTGGAAATTGATAGCATTATTTCTGTTTTCAAATTTTAAATATATCTAAAAAACTAATACCTAAAATATGTGGCTTCAAATACATTTGTTTTACAGCTTCACAAACGACACCATTTACAAAGTCACTTAAAAGCGTAGGGTAAAAGGAAAGGTACGGTTATTATTTCTTATAACAACATGAAAACTCTCACGTTTAAGAACTGCTCTTTGAAATGTGTTTGGAAGTCTTAAAGTAAGATAAAAAAGTTATATTTATGGTATGTATATTTAACGAGGATTAAGAATAATGTGTTAGTAGAATTTTGTTAATGCATTTCTCCCTTTATCTTTGAGGTTATGATAAAAAGGAAATATTACATATAGTTCGTAAAAGTGACACTCAGCGCAAACCACTACGACTTTACATCAACCGTAAGGACTTATAAAAAAGTACTTCGTCATATTTATATTTCAATGGTTAATTATATAGCGGTTTTATCTTTGATAATAAAAAAGCATCTCTCAAAACTGCCATTATTTCAATTGCTCTTAGCGACACGAAAAAGGCATTTTGCGTTCTAAGGCCACGGTAGACACGCAAAGTTGAACGCTCTACTTTATACTTCACTGCGTCTTCATTTGTAGGTTCTGCGAAAACAAAATGACAAAATCATCCCCCCGACCACCATCACAATTCCCTCCCGCATCTTATCTCAAACTCTCTCCTCAGCGAAACAGAAATTCACTTCAGCTGTTACATCTTGGAACAAGAGCGAAGCGCGACTTAGCACAGCTTCGGGGCCCCTCCGCGGGTTGCCGCCACCATCGCCGCAGACGCCTACGCCTCGACGCGGCTCGTTATTCCTTCTCTTCCCCTCCGCCGCCCTCCCCTCTCCTCGCACCAGCCCCCCTACCACCACCACACGCTCGCGGTCTCGAGTGCGTGTATGCGATAAATAAAATTTGAGACTTCCTCTTAAACCTTTCTCTCCCCCTGGAGGTGCCTTCTCTTCCTGCTTGTGCGGTGCCCCACGCAACTCGGCGAGGAAAGCGAGAGAGTGAGGGTGGAGGGTGGGGGCAGGAGAACAGAAGAGGAAGAGTGGGCGAGGCAAGGCGAGACCACTCCAAAGGAGGGCAGAAGGCTGGGTCTGGAGAGGGAGGCTGTTGGTGTGTTCATGGAATTACTTAGGCTCCCCGGCGCAGCCTGCATCGTTCGGAAGAGATGTTCTCTGATACTTTGTGAAGGGCCGCTCTGGTCGACCAGCCATTTTGGGGAAAATGTGGCAGCCGCTGGCATTACCATCGCGCGTGAAAAACGGGCTTGGGTCTGTTTTATCTTCGCAGAAACACAATTCAGAAACCATATCGCGCTTTTCGTAAATAATCAAAAATGGGCTTGAAGACGTCTCGATAGTGTAAATCTTTGCTTCCAGTTTTTTCTTCGCTTACTTCTCTTGCCTCCTTTCATTTTCGCAAATTTGAGGCTTGACTTTACGTCAAGCATTTATTATGAAAGCAATGCATTAAAATCAGTTTTCTGTTAACATTCATAACATTTATATTTACCTTGAAGTCAAATATATGTGTTGTCATGCATTCTTTAAATTATAAGTACAATTTAAAAATAACCCTAATTCTCAAGCAATAAATTATTTTAAAAACAGTATTTGTAACATCTTTAGCTGAAAGGGTTCGAAGTTAATGAAAACCGTTAGATAATGCACATTAACTTCAAACTGCGCCTCATTATCTTCTAGGGTAGCAGTTCATTTAATTTATGAAGTTGGAATGTTAAGAATCCCAGCGACGCCGTTCTTCTAAACTACGATTAACTCATCTCCTGAGGAAATTCCTTCGGCACGCTCTTTCAGAAGTCATTTGGAGCAGACGGAAGAGCGATCCGATTCGCAGAGGTGCAGCGAATGAATCACGTTCGCATTCACGCAGATTCATGAGAATGCATGGAATATAAATTGCGGCGTTTGGAGCGGATTTGAAAAGTCGTTTAAATGCTCGTCAAAATGGAGAGCATCACGGAGTCGTTTCCAGATGATGCTTCGGAAAATAGTAGGAATATTACCTCCTGTGGCTTATGGGAAAGATTACATTCCCATTGTACAAGGAAAACCTGGTAGGAAAATATGTTTTCATTCAGTGGTCCCAACATCAGAGAAATGATTGACTTTAACTTGGTTGACTGTTGTCTCTTGAAACGTTTATAATAATTTCAAGAATACTCGGATGATTTAACGGAAGTTAAAATTGGAAATATTTAGGTTAAGATAGCAGTCAGTCTAAAGCAGTGTAGATAGCTAAGATTTTATTATTAGGACCAATTACCTTTCGTACAATATAATTTAATAACTCTACGATATCTTCGCCACCTTTTCGTAAACAATCTAGTTTTCAATTTTTCACACTCGAAACACCTGAAAATGGATAGATTCAAATTGTTTTAGTATGTTTGTTCCAGTACATCTCTGAAATCCGTGGATCGATTCGAAACAAATTTTGCACGAATACATTTCAGCGGCGGGAAAACAAAATATAGGAGGAGTTCCCATTTTAAAACATTACCCTCAAGTATCAATAAACGCGGTGCGGATTTCATGCAACCCGCATTGCATCGATGCTTTAAGGGATTGCGTTGCAGCGGTGCGGATCGAGGGGAGTGGAACGGCTCGACAGCCAGGGCGACGGGGAGAGGTGGGGCAGGCATGTCGGACTGGGCGGGAAGAGGTGGCGGGTTGGGGGTTATCGCAGAGAGAGAAGCACTAAGCACGACGCTTGGCAGAGGGCAGAACACAAAACTTTGTTGATATTGATGCAATTACTTCTGCTTCGCACAATAAGTCACTATTTTTTCTGTTTAATAAATAGTGGTAAATAAATACATAGGAAATGCTTTCTTCAACTTGTATGTAATAAAAATATAAGTGTTAAAATATGAGTTTAAAATTGTCTCAAAGAAAATGGTACAAACTTCTAGAACATGACGAGCGGTCGAAAATTGTCAGTGTTTGGCCAATGATAATATTATGGTGGGAAATTGTAATTAACTCAGTTACTCCGTTATATGCATATACAACTATACATTAACATTTTCTAGGATTGTTAGGCAATACCTTAGGCACAGTGTTCGTTCGTTGATTGGTTAGTTGGTTAGTGATTCCGGGCGCGACAACTGCTAAGATCATTACTCCTATAATTGTTGTGCATGTTTTATTTCAAGAGGAGGAAGTGATCATCGCACGCTGGGGGGTGATATCCTGCGCCGAACTACCGTCAGCTTCGGGGTTTCCCGCAACCAGGTATCTCCTCCCAACGGAGTACAACCCTCGTCGGTAGAATCTCTAAGCTCCCGACAGGTCTCCCGACATGGATAGTTGTGTAGTGCATGTAAGGATGAGTGTGTTTAAGGGCGCGGTCCGTGGACCGTTTGTTAGGGTTCGCTATTCGTCTGATGTTGATCGGAGAAACCACGAAAAAGTACCTATCAGAGCATCCGGCCACTATAATTCTTTTCCAGCGTTTTAATTCGTTCTAGCTAGCTAGAGTCGAAAAATCCTAGCACCGTCGAGCCACGATCCTGTGACCTCCCGGTCAGAGGCACTGCATTTACATCAGTTGATGCCCTGAGCCACCTCTTCCGGTATAGATGTTCGTCAGGTGTATGAATCGTCCCTGATAGTGCTAGAGCGTTACCTCTCGAACACCTAATCACGCGTTTCCTACAAAGCAGGGGAAAAGTGGCATGTATAATTCCGTTATTTGGAATCTCTACTACATGTTCTCTGACAAATAGTTTGCTTTTCCACCCGTCTACAGGCTCTAGAAGCATGTACTGTTTCTACTGAGAATCCTGTGTGTGTTGGTTTGAACAATCCCAGTGAGTGATAGCTCCCACATTTTTCACGA